GCGAAGGCAAAGTTCTATGAAAATCTCTTAATAAAACAGATAAACAACAAATAAAGTTTTACGATAAGAGTTAAAAATAGCATCACTTAGGGCGCCTAATTAACCACAGGAAGCCCAACAGAAGATCAAGTATGGCCTGATTAAAAGTGGTTAGAACGTCTCAAAACACAAAAATTCTCGAGATAAACACAAGGTAAATGTTTAGTTTAGTTTATGCTTGCTCTTGGGTATGAAACACAACATAAAGCGATCTATTTTGTTGACGTGTTTATCAACTTGTTGGTTTCACACCTGTTGAAAATATGAATATTTCGGTAACTTTGGTCGGTTCTAGCGAAGCATAAACACATTTACCCAACGATATTTTTACATAGATCGAAAGAACTCTTCCTTGACATTTTATCCTGCAAAGATCATTTGATTTGATCATATCGGTCTTTGTCAAATCGACGGCTATTTTGATAGTAGTTTTAACGATCAAAAACAGGTGTCATTTATAAAAATTCGCCAGAAATTTTAGATATAAGCCACAAGTCTAAAACTCGCCCAAATGAAAGAAAATGGGTGATATTTTTATCTTATAAATGTTTTAAGCATAAAACATTGATGCATTAACCAAACGAGGCCATTTCATAGCTCGAAAATTAGCATATTTACATCGTTCCATGCACGAAAATTCAATTTACTCATAAATAAAACGTTATTTTCAAAAACCAAATACATGGTTGTTTATCTTATATAATAGGGTACCTAAGTTAAGAGTATGAGCGAAATCGATTTTTCAAGAGTTGGCATGATTTTTTGAAAATGTTTGATTCTTACCGGCATCCACTCTTAAGTGCATATCAAAATCAGTATAATGAAAAGAATAGTCTCTCTCCACAGCCTCCTCGCATGCAAACATTTTTTTAGAACTCTCCTTACTTCTTTTCAGTTTTTTTAGTTGTCATTCTCAGTCTCTCTCGATTTTTATCGATCCAGTCTTTGAGAACAAACCTGATATGAATTTTAATATGAGTCCATACTCTTGAATGTCTTGAAGAAGGTTGTCCGATGCAGTGACTGTAGAATCGTCGAGCTTCAGCCCAATTTGCTTGAGGAATCCCTCCTCGTGTAATTGACACATATTGTAGTCACTGTTTAGGAACAGCCGTCTTCCTGTGCCACTCAGAAGGCTCTCGAACTGAAATAAAACACCATCAATCAAGCTGCTGTTGGGCAACAGGTGCATGATGGGGTGTGGGGTGTAGGGGGTCGGGTGTGGGGTGTGGRGTGGGGTGTGGATGTGGGGTGTGGGGTGTGGGAGGAAGTTTGACTCCTTACTCAGGTAAAGGTAAGGACCTCTATCATCTAACAGTGCTAAACATATTGCGCAAATGTRTTTTTAGATCGCAGTAGGATATTGATTGTTTTTTAGCAACCAGCATGCTACCACGAGGTAATGCGTAAATTGCATTTGTCATTGTGTTCTTTTCGCATTGTCTATTTCTGTGTAACCTGGCTATCAGGACTGGTGTGGTCGGTTGTCGTTCCTTTCTTTTTCTTTTTTCTTTTTCTTTTTTTTCTTCTTTGTCTTTCGCGACTTTCGCCTAGAGAACTGATTCTCCAGATTTCGGGATCGCCTAAAACCGGGACGGGGACGTGGGACGTGGGACGTGGGACGTGGGAAGTGGGACGCGGGACTGGGACGCGGGATATGGACGTATAGATTTTGAAATACAATGTACTACGACGAAAAAATCCTTGTTTTGTTTTGTTAAATTGAAAATAAACCGATAAATACTCACATGACTGCTTTATATCCTGACAACAAAACTCTTGGATCAATAAAATTGAGTTGCTTAGTAGGTGTTTTCATCGCCATTTCTCTCCAAGTTTTCACAGTTTGAAAACCTCTGAGCCAGCAAAACTTGATAGTCAATATACCGCATTACACAGGGAGCCCTAACTAAGGCGTTGCCTTGTCGCCAAAATCATCATTGCGGAGATGGCGGACTTCAATTGTGAGCGACTCGAGTAGCGGTAAGGATTTAACCCATGACCTCTATTAATCACACCCTTCTGTGCAAGTATAATTTGTTAGGCTGATGTACACTGTATTTATAGTCTTAAGAGAGTACAGACTGTTGTTTTTGTTTTGTGTTAAAAAGGTTAAATTGACACTCACACTGCTACTATGATTTTGATATTCTCCTTTGTCCATTTTGATTAATTAAGATGAACAACTTTGATTTACAACCAGTGCAGTCTGGAAAGCCAAATGGAAAGAACTTGCCTTGAATTCAGATGATTTTGAGATATGCTTTTAATCATTGGCATAGTAAGTTATAATGATAGATAATAAACAAACAAATACTGAACGTTTTCAGAAGNTTGGAAAGAAATGGCGATGAAAACACCTACTAACTCATTTTTACATACATTTTTATTGATCCAAGAGTTGTGTTGTCAGGATATAAAGCAGTCATGTGAGTATTTATCGGTTTATTTTCAATTTAACAAAACAAAACAAGGATTTTTTCGTCGTAGTACATTGTATTTCAAAATCTATACGTCCATATCCCGCGTCCCAGTCCCGCGTCCCATGTCCCACGTCCCACGTCCCCGTCCCGGTTTTAGGCGATCCCCCAGATTTCAGTTAAACTATTCTACGAAGAGCAACCCTTCTTCCGCTGTCCCGGATATTGATATTTTTTGGCTATACTGAGAAATATTTTGTGGAAATATGATTGATTTGTCTAATTTTAGCCATGAATTTCATAATCCATCATTACTCATTGCGTAATCCTTACTTACCATATACAAGTACTTAACGATAAGATTCTCTCGTTCTTCCCTTGAATCGGTAGACAAAAGGAGCTTTTTGATGGCTTCTAACTTTGTTTCCAAATCAGGGATGTTGAACAATTCTTTAAGAAAAGATCAAACGAAAAGTAATTATAATGCATTAAAAAATACACAAAATTGAATGTCCTTTAATATCTATTTGATCACAACTCGCTTCAAACTGACTAAATTTGCGTATTATTAAGTCTAATTGCGGGTTCTTTGTAAGAATAGCTACTTTGTCAGTAGTGCCTCATCATACAATCAATTACCCTATCGCATAATTACGTCACACCAAAACATGCTACTGTTTAACGCCAAGAATTATGGTCGCAAGTGGGGGCCAAAGTGACTGCATACCAAATAAAATGTAGATAAGATATCATTGATAAATGATGTACATCATAACTCGATACTGTATCTTACTGTACTTTAGTGTGACACTTAAATTCTACTTTAGGAAAGAATGTTAATAGGTCCAGATTTCGGGTCTTTCTGAGCGTCTATCCACAATTTAAACATACTGTGACGTCATTTTTTGCTATAAAAATGTCATTGTAAGAGGTATCAAAAACAAGTAAAAACATAGAGAGTTCTAATAGCCCATCATCGCAGCATGCATGAGACACGAAGTCTATCGGCGGAACATATGGATGGACTTCTAATTCGTTTTTACTGATTAAAGAAAATTATGCCCTTAAATGAGGGTCTCAATGGGGTTAACCGTGAGCCGTGAAACGGCTAAAAAATTAGCCGTGAATCGTAAAAATGAGAAAAATTAGCCGTGAAACGGCTGAAAAATTAGCCGTGAGTCGTGGAAATGTGAAAAAAAATTAGCCGTGAGGCGTGAAAAAGCCAAATTTTTAGCCGTGAGTCGTGATGCGGACCCCCCCATTGAGACCCTCTTAAATAAATAATGGAAAATGAAAGACTGGACGGGCAGGTCAGGGTCGCACGGCTCAGCCGCCATAACCTTGCTTCTTTGATTCAAATTAAGGATCCCAGTTTCCCAGATTTCTTCCAATCATTCAGAAATCCGAGTACCCCACAATATCGTTTCCTAGTGTCACTATCATTTTACGCTTAATTACTCAGATTATTCATGCGACCTCAGATCTTGATTTTACTGACCTGATTCTGTTCCAAATTCTCCGTCTTCGCTGTCTTCTATAACATTTAGCAGGTCTTCAAAACTGTCCTCGCGTTTTTGCAATTTCACATGGGTAAGTCCACGAGCAACAACATTGCCAACAAAGTGGTTTTCAGAAATTCGCAACTTGCCAGTAGATTCATCATACTTCACAGGGCAAACTGTAAAAAAGATTGGAGCTTTCTTTTTCCTAGAAACATAGCGAATAAAGCAAATAAAGTTGTTAGTTTACTAGCAAGAAATTAACCATATATTTATCTAGAAAATAGAGATTAGTTGCGTTTTACTTGGAAAATACTATTGATTATTATTATTGAATTGCATCTTAAGAGTCGGTTAGTCTCTAGCAATGAACTTGGTCGGGTTGTCTTTTGAATCGATGCTTTTGGCAAATTAAACTAAATATCTACAAATCGAAGAAAACGTATTCAATCATCACACTGCAATAAGTTCCCACGCAGCCTTTATTTATAGCGTCCACATAGTCTTCTTCACGGTTCCCTGCGCCATTTTGAAAGGTAGCCGTGCCTTTGCATCGAAGCAAGACGACCGTTGAGCGTGCAATGATAGAAACCTTTTTTGACAACCTACAGACAATTACTGACTGGTATCTATCATTGCACGCTCAACGGTTTTCCCGCTTCGATGCAAAGGCACGGCTACCTTTCAAGATGGCGCACGTAATCGTGAAGGGGTCTTTTGATGAGGACAGTGAGAGAGATTGAGCTGCGATGCATTCGTGGACAGTTTACTAGCTTCACTGCTTTTCAGATCTTTAGGCATGTAAGCACTTTCTGCGCAAGTATTATTGTGCCCCATGGGGCTAGTATTTTTTTAAATTTCATTTTGACAATATTAATTTGAAGGATTGCTGCTCGATAGAAGAAAGGTCATTATAGACCCGTGCAACAAAATAGGCCTTCTCCAAATTCGCATGGATGATCACAGAAGAGTGGTTTCAATGTCTATCAAAGCCAGTCTCGAACTGAAACCATGCATTTTTTTTCGTGTTCATCAAAGCGAATTCGGGAAAGGCCTATTAGACTACTAAAGTCATGTGTGATAGTCATACAAGGCTTAAGAAAAAGAATGGATTGGAGGTTGTATCAGTCTATATATTTCACGGGGTTTTGACCTCACTCCATTTCTTAGCAATAAGTACAACTCACCTTGTTACCATCGCAGATTTGCAGTTTATACTTGAACATCTACCACCTACACTACCAATCTTACCAACCCATCCTCCAAACTTGGTTTTCAAATTTACTCGCCCACTCAAGTCAAAACTCGATTCTCTCTTTCCAACTATTCTAAACATGCTACTGTACACCACACTAGTGACGATGTAGAGCTTGTGTTTTAAATATGGCTCCATTTTATCTTTACAGAGTAAACCGCTCTGAAGAATCTCACGCAGGTCTGTGTCTTCATAATACTCTTCGTCCATCATGCCTAGTTCCAAGTCTCCCAAGTTACAATTAGAGGTACACTCCAATGATACTCCTTCTGTCGCCTTAAGAGTAAGTTCATGCTTTTGTTTTACTTCGGCAATTTCTTTCTTTTGCAGTCTCTTTTCTATCCTAAACATTCATGAAAAAAATAATTAGTGTATAAATGAACTCAGGCATTTTAGCTTCCTGGCATTCTTGTTCTACTACTGCTCACCAAGGAGAAAACAAAATTTCAGCTAAGTTGAAGATTATATATTCTTTTATGTAAAAATCTGCTTGAATTGGAGCTTTGTTCTCAGTCATAGGTGCGCATTCACAACATGATGTGCGTGTTAACATGGGTATGCACTTTTGATCATTACTGGACATCAGATTTACATGTAACAATTGAATTTCATGTCACGCAAGCTAGAAACATAGACTTCACTTAACGAGGGCTGGACTAAATCGCTCTTAATTACCACCATTTTCACAATAGAGAACCGTTTGGAAGTAGTGGTTTTATAAAGCTGTCATCATCGGGACTTTCTAAAGTGGACAACCGATCGAAACCGAAGAATATATTGAATAGAGGAAGAAAAGAGAAAACGTTCATTGTGGATTCCAAATAGAGGGTGGACCATTAAAATGTGTGGTCGATTAAAATGAGAACTATTGCACAGGCTACAAGGTCTAAAAACGTCCGGGGCTATTAAGCAAAACATAAAATAAAAAACAAAATGAAATATTTAAAAATAGAAATAAATAAAATTTAAGTAATAAAATATTTAAAAATGTCGAGTTGCAATATGAGAAATGACAGCCGTGATGATTACGACAGAAGTTATGCATGTAAATTTACCAATTACAAAGGAATCCCTGTCTGAGAGTGATGAGTTTGACATTGGCTTTAATAGACAACCAAGAAGGTCCAATTAACTTCTGGGCTAATGCATGCATACCTGATAACAGAGCTCTCTGCTTTTTCGCGGAATCCTTTCTGGTACACATCCACTACATATTTTTCCAGCTTTGATAGAATCTTGAGTTCACTATGATGAAAGGGCTTCTTCCACCACGGACGGTTCTGCTTTAAAATCAGTGCAGTTGGTTGAACGCTTTCACTTCGGCCATGGAGTACTGGTATGTACTTAGTGCGTCCAAAATTTTCTCGAGCAATAGACATCAACAGATCTTGTGCCATGGTGTGAAACGTGATATTTGTATTSGATTAGACTCTGTATATCCGTCTGTGCCTGGAAGCGAGTTAAAAATTACTGTAAKAATATGGGTACTTTACTAATTGGTCTTCTTCTCTTTAGAGAATCCGAAATGAAAGTTTTTCTTTTGTTTTAATTAAAGCAGTGAAATTGAAACTAAAAATCGTATTTTACTTCCGGGACAATCCCCTAGCCTTYGAAGAATCCGTTTCAGAGGTTTTCTAAGGTTTCCCCTTCAACGAAATCGTCCTTCCTTAGTTAGCCTTCATCTTTATTCATATCTTATCATTCCTTATAAATACTTGCTAGATCGGCTCGTGTCGGAAGGGAAAAACCCCATGCACTTTTGCAGGTGACCTCCTGTACTATTGTGTTACATCTAATTTGATCCAATTTTGCCAGTCGATAGAGTTCGTTTTGGTATTACTGTTAAAGAGACCAAAGCAAAACGAATAGACTGATACGGGCTTATGTTAACGTTTCTAAATTTATGAAAAGAACGAGTTTCCGCTATGATATTCTGTATTTAGAGGGAAGGAACGTAAATCAGTTTGGACATACAAATTGATGTTATTGGCACAGCTCGATTTGGTAGCAGTAAAAAACATATTCACAAAAGGATTCATTTCAATTTTATTGCGATTCTTATAATGAAATTGAGTTGGGTTCTGATGCAAAGACAGGRACAAACAAACGATCATTCACGTTTGTGGATGTCCCTAAATAGTGGAACACGGGCAATTTAAAAGTACCATGTCGCGACCGGCTGAAAGTTTAATTCTTCTTTAGAATTGTGAAATCTATCATAAAGCTGATGAGTGCAACTGATTYGGATTCTTTAGAAACTGATTCGAAACTAATTGGCTGAAGGAAGATTTGGACTTTATTCTGCCATGAAAAAAAACACGATGTCTGACGCTATCACTTATATCAAAAAGAACATGCAAGACACRCACTTACCTTAGAGAAGATGTATGTAGTATAGAGGCACGTGGGGTAAGCAMTTTGCTAGATAAAATTTTGTTTTTCTTTGATTTAAGGGACGATGCTTTGCGAACAGAGCAATTGACWTGCAACGTTCGATGCGAAACTTACTGAATGAAAGCTAAACTCACGTGTGGTTGACGTAAACGATTCCGGGGACTTTCCCTAGATAGGTGTATGCCGCGATAGGGGCTTTCCCCTGGCGTTATTTGATTAGTAATTCGTCGCGTATTCCAATAATTCAGTCATTTGCTTCCGGTTGTATACCACTGACCTCTTTAGCCATCTATTATTTTTCTTTCTTCAGAGACCTCAGGAATCACGCAAATACTTCCAAGCAGTTATTTGCCTACGAAACTGAAATTTAATATTTGGTATTATGATACAATATTAGAAATTCGGTTCTACCCACCGATTACCATTCTTTTTATTCAACTTTTGCCGGGCCGATATCCGATAAGAACAGGAATAGTTCCGGTTCACAACCAACTAAAAGACGYATATTTTTTATTAGGACTTCCGTTATTTTAATTTTGCTGATGAAGTACATTTGGTTTCGAACACTTGTGAATTTCCATATGAGAATATCAGTATAATAATATTAAACAGACCTTAATCGTATTATGGACTTTTTTACCATTGACGGTGAATGGTACTCACACAAATGGACGATCAATGGTGCTGTTTCCTAGTTTCTTGTGTCTGGATACCTGGCATGACATGTCAGCTCATGTATGAACACTGGCTGGAGGTCGCCTTCTTTTAGGAATTAACTTTAATTTTCTTCAGCTTCGTGTCTGCGGTTGTCTGTAACAAAAGCTAAATGTGAACAATCAGTGGAAAATAGTATCGATTTAAACATTT